TTTAACCCATTAAACATGTCACTGTCATTAGGTCACTTTGTTCCTACATGGGACTGTCCCTTTAACCCATTAAACATGTCGCTGTCATTAGGTCACTGTGTTCCTACATGGGACTGTCCCTTTAACCCATTAAACATGTCATTGTCATTAGGTCACTTTGCTCCTACATAGGACTGTCCCTTTAACCCATTAAACATGTCGCTGTCATTAGGTCACTGTGTTCCTACATGGGACTGTCCGTTTAACCCATTAAACATGTCCCTGTCATTAGGTCACTTTGCTCCTACATGGGACTGTCCCTTTAACCCATTAAACATATCACTGTCATTAGGTCACTGTGCTCCTACATGGGACTGTCCCTTTAACCCATTAAACATATCACTGTCATTAGGTCACTGTGCTCCTACATGGGACTGTCCCTTTAACCCATTAAACATGTCACTGCCATTATGTCACTTTGTTCCTACATGGGACTGCCCCGTTAACTAAACATGCCTTTTAAATAAATCTAATTATTTTACCAGGAAATATACATTCTAGCTTTTAGTTTCCGAGGTCTCAGTGTAATTATTACCTTGCTTAATAGTACTCAGTTTATTGACCTTTGATAGATAAAATGCTGAGTTAGCCGTGATAAAAATATAACCTTCCTAAATATAGGTAGTATATAAAGAATACAAATCTGAAAACTGTGGAATGAAATCTTTATGCCCTGATCAGCCACAACATTAAAACTACCTGCCTAAAATCATGTAGTCCCACCTCGTGCTGCCTAAACAGTTATGATGCATCAAGGCATGGACTCCACAAGACCTCTGAACGTGTCCTGTGGTACCTGGCATTAAAGGACCACTCTAGGCACCCAGACCACTTCAGCTTAACCCCTTAAGGACACAGCTTCAGAAGCTTGACTTACGCTTAATGACACAAGCAATTTTTGCATTTTCTTGCTGTTTGCGTTCAACTGCAATTTGCATCTCTCTCATTTATTGCACCGACACATATTATATACTGTTTTTAAAGGACAGAAAGGGCTTTAATTTGATATAACATATATATATATATATATATATATATAAATGCTTACTTATTATAAAAAAAATACAGAAAAATGCAAAAAAATGAAAAATATTGTTTTTTTTTACAGTTTTTGCAATAATAATGTGTGCATAATTAGTGCAGGTTAAGGAAAGTAATTAAAAATAAATTTATTTATTTGTTCTGATTTACAGAATATATAATGTGTCTGGGATTTTAAGTTTTTTTTGGTAGTTACAGGTCATAAAGCACAAGGAGTAAAATAAACTTTTTAATGTGGAGCAATTCTAGAATTTGGTATGTTTGTCTTGTAAGCTTAATAGCCATAAAAGAAAACAAAATTGCCACACAAAAGTATATATTTATATAAAGTAGACATCACGGGCTATTTACCTAAGGTTGTTTTGACACTTTCTACGTAGCCATTTCACCGCCAAATATTGCTAAATATTGGATTAAAATTGTGTTCTTTTTGGTTTTTGGCACACAAACTTATAACAGAGAAATTCTCGTGTATATTTTGTAAAGTTGGTGTGTGCTAGTCCTGTACAAAGTTTTATTTTGTGTTCAGTTACATCTGCTGAGTAAAATGACACCCCCATTGTATGTCTTTTGCACTATTTCGTGAAGTTACAGTGCCATACAGGATTCCTGTCCTTTTCAGTATTCACAGTAGAATTTTGAGAGATGGATTTAATGAGCCTTAGCTTCCATTTGGGGTATTATAACAGTTTGACTGTTCAAAAAAACCTTCCCACAAAGGCCACCATTTGTAAGTAAAGACACTCCGGGGTGTCTTATGAGTGCATAATATTGCCTGCTGTACTTATTTTTCACACCAACATAAACAGTATGTGGTAAAAAAAAATTTTGTGCATTTTTTACATACGGATTGCATTTTTGCTGGGCGTTTTGTATATTTTATATGTGCCACTAAGTTCAAACCCCCCAAATTATGCTCAGCTAAGTCTTCTGAGTAAAATGACACCCCCATATGAATGTCTTTGGCACTATTTCGTGAAGCTACAGTGCCATATAGGAGACCTGTCCTTTACAGTATTCACAGTAGAATTTTCAGAGATGGATTTAATGAGCCTTAGCTTCCATTTGGGGTATTATAACAGTTTGACTGTTCAAAAAACCCCCACAAAGGCCTACCATTTGTAAAAGTAGACAATCCAGGGTATCTTATAAGGTGCATATTGTGCCTTAACATGCCCCCATTTTTTCACCAATATATGCCAAAGTATGTGGTAAAAAATAATTTTGTGCATTTTTTACATACGGATTGCATTTTGCTGGGCGTTTTGTATATTTCATATGTGCCACTAAGTTCAAACCCCCCACATTATGCTCAGCTAAGTCTTCTGAGTAAAATGACACCCCATATGAATGTCTTTGGCACTATTTTGTGAAGCTACAGTGCCATAGGAATGCAGCCGCATCATTTTACACCAAACTTTGAATTTTGGCGGCGGAGCCTGTAGTGCAATTTTCCCGGCATCAGTAGGTTTTAAATTCAAACCCTACCCACAAGGCCTACCATTTCTTAAAGTAGACACCCAGGGTGTTTCAAAAGGCCCATAGTTTGAACCTTGGCGTGGATCATTTTCCGCTAAGCGTACCAAATTAGCCAGTGGTAATAAGCATTTTTCTACCTTTTGACACATTAAAGTGAGTTTAGCGGCATATTTTTGCAAACACTTATGGTATTGCTTCACGACTGTATAATACTTAATATGTTGCTTCAGCTATGTCGATGAGTACAGCAATACACCCGGCGTACCTTTGCCAGGTATGTGTGGACATCGGAGGGGCACATTTGGGACACAGCCATTCCAGTTTTTTTCAAACTTTGAATTTTTATGCTGTGCCTATGTCCCATTTTAGAGTATTTTACCAGGCTATATAATCAAAATTCCCCATAAAGCCATACCATTTCTTAAAGAAGACATCCCAGGGTATTTCAAAAGGCATATTTTGAACCTTAGCGTGGGATCATTTTTCCGCTAGCTTGTACCAAGTGTAGTGGTAATAAACATTTTTTCTGCCTTTTTGACATACAAAGTGAGTTTGCGCAGCATATTTTGCAAACCTTATGTGTGCTATGACTGTATAATACTTCATATGTTGCTCAGCTATGTCAGCTGAGTACAGCAATACCCCTGTATGTATACCTTTGCCAGGCATATGTGGGATGTTAAGGCATTGAGGCCTTAGCCATTCATGGGTTTTCTAACTTTGAAGTTTTACGCTGTGTCCATGTTCCAATTTGGAGTAGTTTAGACGGTTGGTTATTGAAACTTCCCACAAACACATACTATTTATTAAAGAATACACCCTGGGGTAATTCAAAAGGCATATTTTGAACCTTGGCGTGGGATAATTTTTTCTCTAGTTTGCTCCAGGTGTAGTGGTAATGAGCGTTTTTAAAATGTATTTTTTTACTTTTTATAACTTTTTACTTTTAAAAACTAGTTTTTAAACTTTTGTTTTGCTTATAAAAATTTTTTAAACTTTCCTAAACTTTCTTAAAACTTTTTTACAGATTTAACATTTTTCTAAGCTTTTTTTTTTTACCGTTAACCCCTAACTAGCAGTACGCAGCAGTAACAGTAAATTCCCCATTTCCCATAACTCCCACCCACCCCAGCTAGCAAAATATATAGTTATAAAATATTTAAATTAATTAATTAAATAAATTGAACCCCTGAGGGTTAAAAAAAATAAATAAAAGTTAATCCTCAGAGGTTAAAAAAAATTAGATCACAGTATAATACTGTGATCTCTATTTGATCGCTGTAGGCAGTGATCGACTGGCAGGAAGGGGTTAATTTTTATTTGGACTAAGGTAAAGTGTGTTTTACTTAAATGTTATTAAAGTATTTTTTTTAAGCAATTTTAACTTTTAAGTTTCTTTTTTAAAACTTACACTAGCAGAGATTTAAACTGGATTAGCCCTAGCGTAAATCCCCCAATTCCCCACTAACTTCCACCTACCCCAGCTAGCTAAATATATAATTAAAAAATAATTTAATTAATTAATTTAATTAATTTAACCCCTGAGGGTTAAAAAAAAAAGAATTAACCCTCAGGGGTTAAAAAAAAAAAAAATCAGATCATAGTAAAATGTAATCCCTGCCAATTGATCACTTTAGTCAGTGATCAATTGGCAGGGAAGGGGTTAATTTTTTATTAAAATGGGTAAGGGGGGACTTTAAATAAACTTTATTTTTTTTTACAGCAGGGGGCAGGATCATCACTGATCCGGCTCCCTGCACTTCACACAGAACCCGGAAGTGCAGGGAGCCGGTAGGTGAGTATAGAGAGCACATGTGCTCGCTCAGACTTGTGGTCAGAGCGAGCACATGTGCTGGGCAGCTTGACCGGGTGCTCCCGGTATACCTCTAATGCAGAGGCATACCGGGAGCACAATTAACCCCGCGATCGCCCAGCGATGCATGGCCGATCCGAGAGGATAAAATCTACATAAATCCACGGGCGAGGTCCGTCACCCGTCGTTAAGGGTCTCCCCTCTGTAATGGACCTGCGTCGCGTCACCCGAATCCCTGAAAGGGGTTAATGCCAAATTGGTCAGATTGCCAGGTCAGCTAGGTTTAACCCATTTTTTTCATAAACATAGCAGTTTCAGAGAAACCTTTATGTTTGCGCTGAATGGGACCTTCCCTATTCCTCTGAGTGGCTGTCTCATTGACGAAAGCCACTAGAAAACTTTACATCTTCTCACTGTGATTTTTCACAGTGAGAGCACGCCAGCGTCCATAGGAAAGCATTATGAATGCTTTCCTATGTGACCGGCTGAATGCGCGTGCAGCTCTTGCCGCGCGTGCGCATTCAGCCCAGGAGGAGGAACGGAGGAGGATCGGAGGAGGAGAGCTCCCCGCCCAGCACTGGAAAAAGGTAAGTTTTTACCCCTTTCCCCTTTCCAGAGCCGGGCTGGAGGGGGTCCCTGAGGGTGGGGGCACCCTCAGGGCACTATAGTGCCAGGAAAACGAGTATGTTTTCCTGGCACTATAGTGGTCCTTTAAGACATTAGCAGCAGATCATTTAAGTCCTGCAAGTTGCGAGATGGGGCCTCCATGGATCGCATTAGTTGTTCCAGCACATCCCACAGATGCTGAATTTGGAGGCCAAGGCAACACCTTGAACACTTTGTCATGTTCCTCAAACCATTCCTGAACAATTTTGCAGTGTTGGAGATTGCATTAGCCTGCTGAAAGAGGTCCCTGCCATCAGGGAGTAGTATTGCCATAAATGGGTATACGTGGCTGCAACAACATCTCTAGGTTGGTGGTATGTGTCAAAGTAATGACAGGACATATGCTTTACCAGCACTACATTACACAAAGCATAATGCTACCTCCGCCTGTCTTCTTCCTATATTGCATCCTGCTTCTTTTACCCAAGTAAGCAACGCACACGCCATCCAACTGATCTAAATGAAAATGTGGCTCATCAGAACAGGCAACCTTCTTCCATTGCTCCATAGTCCAGTTCTGACACTCATGTCCCCATTTAAGGTGCTTACAGTGGTGGACATGGGTCACCATGGGAATTCTGCAGCTACACAGCACCATACGCAGCAAACTGTGATGCACTGTGTGTTCTGACACCTTTCGATCATGGCCAGCATTTCTTTTTTCAGCAATTAGAGCTACAGTAACCTTTCTGTGTGATCGGACCAGTTGGGCTGGTCTTTGCTCCCTATGTGCATCAATGAGCTTTGGGCATATATGACACTAATGAAGATACACCAGTTGCACAGTATTTGGTAGGTACTAACCCCTGCATACCTGGAAAATCCCACAAGACTTGCTGATTTGGAGATTCTCTGACCCAGTCTCTAGCCATCACTATTTCGCCCTTGTCAAAGTCTCTCAGATCTTTTCATTTGCCCATTTGTCCTGCTTCCAACAAATGAAATTCAAGACCTGACTTTTCACTTGATGCCTAATATATCACACCTCTTGACATGTGCCATTTTAACAATGTCAGTGGTTTTAATATTGTGGCACAGAGTAGATTGTAAGCTCATTTGAGAACCTACAATTATCCCCATTTTATTAAGCTCTGCAGAATATGTTAGCTAAGTCAAATGGCCTTCATATTTTGTCTAACTCTGTTACTCCAGAATATACCACGCATTTTTTAAGATGTTATTCATTACAGATGTACAATGTGTATCCAAAATTAATGGAGAAGTTACCGGGGCCCCACAACAAGTTCTTCAAAGCAGTTGATGAGATTCAGGAATTTATTGCTGAAAGAATCAAAATGCATGAAGAGACCCTGGATCCAACGTCTTCCAGAGACTTTATCGACTCTTTCCTTATAAAGATGGAGCAAGTGAGTCTAGTAAACAGAGAGACATTCATGTGATCTATTAAAAGTTTATATGTTTTACTATTCCATTATCATAAAAAAATGGTTTATTGCATGCATTAAGTAAATTACTGCCAGCAGCATTTTAACTCCCGTTTGTCTCAACTAATCCCCACCTCCTTGCTGTTCTATCTAAATTGTATAACCTTCAATGTCTCTCCCCCCTATTCTTAGATTAAAGTCTCCTTCAACTGTTAGCCCCCCACATCCACCCCAAGCCCCAGCACAGCAAACCCTCTTCCATCACCACCAAGTGCCATATGTAAAACATATATAAAAACCACAATTACTACACCAGGACCTCGGCCACAAATTGACCTAATCTCCCGCTGCCTTTCCCATGTAGCGCATGGTACAGGTAATATCTCAGAAACTATCATCTTAGAGGTCCTTGTCTTTAGTTTATTTCTTAATTCCCTGAACTCTTTCTTTAGGACCCTCCAATTTCCTCTGATAATGCCATCGGTTCCAATATGGAAACTATATTACTGTATAGGCTTTAAACTGCCTATTCACAAGCAAAGCCCCATATCATTTGGGGACAAAGACCCCTCAGTGCACCCCAGCCATGGTCAGTGGGTGGGAGCTACTTATTAACCAGGGGGGCCTAATGTCCATTCCTCAGCACCTATTCATTGGCAGTGGATGAGGATTTTTATTATAATATTTAAAGGAGGAAATCTATTGTCCCAGCCCTCAACTGTGAGTGACAAGTGAGGGTTCTAAATATTAGACATGGGTTGGTGGATATTCCATTGGTTTCAGTAAATAAAGTATTGCAACGCCAGTTTGGCCATTTTAACTATATTAATCCGTCCGGACAAAATCCGGTGACTAATGAATAACTCTGAAAGGTCATATAGATATAATGTAGTGAATATTATAGAATGAGATGATAATATAATAGAGTGCAGTGTGGAATGCTATAGAATGTCAGACTGATAGAATAGAATGCAGTGTGGGATGTTATAGAATGTCACAATGATAGAATAGAATGCAGTGTAGGATGTTATAGAATGTCACAATGATAGAATAGAATGCAGTGTAGGATGTTATAGAATGTCACACTGAAAATATAGAATGCAGTGTAGGATGTTTTGGAATGGACTGCTGATAGAATAGAATGCAGTGTGGGATGTTATAGAATGCCATGCTGATAGAATAGAATGCAGTGTGGGATGTTATAGAATGCTGTGCTGATAGAATAGAATGCAGTGTGAGATGTTATAGAATGTCACAATGATAGAATAGAATGCAGTGTAGGATGTTATAGAATGTCACACTGAAAATATAGAATGCAGTGTAGGATGTTTTGGAATGGACTGCTGATAGAATAGAATGCAGTGTGGGATGTTATAGAATGTTACACTGATAGAATATAATGCAGTGTGGGATGTTATAGAATGTCACAATGATAGAATAGAATGCAGTGTAGGATGTTATAGAATGTCACACTGAAAATATAGAATGCAGTGTAGGATGTTTTGGAATGGACTGCTGATAGAATAGAATGCAGTGTGGGATGTTATAGAATGCCATGCTGATAGAATAGAATGCAGTGTGGGATGTTATAGAATGCTGTGCTGATAGAATAGAATGCAGTGTGAGATGTTATAGAATGTCACAATGATAGAATAGAATGCAGCGTAGGATGTTATAGAATGTCACACTGAAAATATAGAATGCAGTGTAGGATGTTTTGAATGGACTGCTGATAGAATAGAATGCAGTGTGGGATGTTATAGAATGTCATGCTGATAGAATAGAATGCAGTGTGGGATGTTATAGAATGTCACACTGATAGAATAGAATGCAGTGTAGGATGTTATAGAATTCCCTGCTGATAGAATAGAATGCTGTGTGTGATTTTATAGAATGCTGTGCTGATAGAATAGAATGCAGTGTGGGATGTTATAGAATGCCGTGCTGATAGAATATAATGCAGCGTGTGATGTTATAGAATGCTGTGCTGATAGAATAGAATGCAGTGTGAAATGTTATAGAATGCCATGCTGATAGAATAGAATGCAGTGTGAGATGTTATAGAATGCCATGCTGATAGAATAGAATGCAGTGTGTGATGTTATAGAATGTTACACTGATAGAATAGAATGCATTGTGGGATGTTATAGAATGCCACTCTGGTAGAATAGAATGCAGTGTGTGATGTTATAGAATGTTACACTGATAGAATAGAATGCAGTGTAGGATGTTATAGAATGTCACACTGATAGAATAGAATGCAGTGTAGGATGTTATAGAATGCCATGCTGATAGAATAGAATGCAGTGTGGGATGTTATAGAATGCCGTGCTGATAGAATAGAATGCACTGTGAGATGTTATAGAATGTCACACTCAGGGCCGTCTTTAATATGGATTGGACCCTGGGCAAACATTTGCTTGGGCCCCCTGAACCCGGTCGTCCCCTCCCTGGCATGCAATCATGCCCCCCCACCCCAACGCAGAGGCGGACGTAAAGTAGAGAGGGCTCTGGTGCATGAATTATTTTGGGCAAGAGGGGGCAAAAGGTAGATCCCCATCTGTCATGCAACTCCAACAATGCTTTGACAGCTGGGGCGCTACCATTTTCCTATGCATGCAGGGTTATATTTAGCACTGAGCAGTATTTGTGTGTTTGAGTGTAAGCATGTTTTTGTATGGAGTATGTTTGTGTGAATGTAGGGGTGTGTTTGTATGTGGAGATGGCATTTAAATGCAAGTATGCATTTATGTGTAGTGTTGGTTTATGAATACACTGGTGTGTTTATATATAATTTTGTTGTTTTAAAAAAGGTGTGTTTATATGTAGTGTTGAAGTTTGAATGCAGGTGTGTATTTGTGTGTAGTGTTGAATGCTGAAATGTATGCACAAATACACATGCACTGTCACAAACACACAAACACACACACACACACACACACACACAGTGATACACATACACACACAGAAACACTTGCAGATACACAGATATACACAATCATACAGATGTAGCTATACAGACACATTTACACACACTGACAAACACACATACAGACACACAATGACAACATACAGACACACAGATACATAACCTGACAAATGCAGATACAAACACTGACACGCATGCAGATACATTGGCTACATACAGATACATGCACAGGTATACACACTGGCACACACACACAGATACATACATACTGACAACATACAGATACACACTGACACACACACACACACACAGAGAGACACTGTGACAGACATACTGACACTGTGACAGACATACATACTGACACATACACAAACATACTGACTGGCACACCGACATACATACAGACACACAAACTGACACACACACAGACATACAAACTGACAGACATACAAACTGACACACACACAGACATACAAACTGACACACAGGCATACAAACTGACACACAGGCATACATACTGACACACACACAGACATACAAACTGACACACACACAGACATACAAACTGACACACACACAGACATACATACTGACACACACACAGACATACAAACTGACACACACACAGACATACATACTGACACACACACAGACATACAAACTGACACACAGACATATACTGACACACAGACATATACTGACTGACACATACATACTGACACACACACAGACATATACTGACACTCACACAGACATACTGACACACACACAGACATACTGACACACACAGACATACAAACTGACACACAGACAGACAGACACTCTTCAGTTTCCTACCTTTGAAAGAGGCTTCCTTCCCTGGGGTCCAGTGTGCTGGCTGGGGTAGTTGGGAGTTGGGGGTCTGGCTCTTCTTGCTCCCCCTCCTCACTGGATCCTGGCTAGCAGCATCCCGCGCGGCCCGATATCTTTGAGGTGGGAGGAAGTGATTCGCGGACGTCACTTCCTCCCATGCAGCCGTTAAGCAAGGAGCCCGGTCGCGCTGTTAAAGGGCCACAGCGCCGACCGGACCCCTGCTGGAACATGCTCACTGGGTGGCCCTAAAGGTATGGGCCACCCGGGGGGGCCCCTTAGTGTGCGGGCCCTGGTGCAGCCGCAATACTAGCACCGCGGGCCCATTAGGTAGGGAAATATTTTAAAAAAATAAATTTTTATTGCAGGCGACGGGGCCCACGGGGCAGCTGCTTTGGGCCCCCCATGAGTAACTGGGCCCAGGGCAGCTGCCCCGTTTGCCCCTCCTTAAAGACGGCCCTGGTCACACTGATAGAATAGAATGCAGTGTGGGATGTTATAGAATGTCACGCTGATAGAATAGAATGCAGTGTGAGATGTTATAGAATCGCATGCTGATAGAATAGAATGCAGTGTGAGATGTTATAGAATGCCATGCTGATAGAATAGAATGCAGTGTGTGATGTTATAGAATGCCATGCTGATAGAATAGAATGCGGTGTGAGATGTTATAGAATGCCATGCTGATAGAATAGAATGCAGTGTGAGATGTTATAGAATGCCATGCTGATAGAATAGAATGCAGTGTGTGATGTTATAGAATGTTACACTGATAGAATAGAATGCATTGTGGGATGTTATAGAATTCCACGCTGGTAGAATAGAATGCAGTGTGTGATGTTATAGAATGTTACACTGATAGAATAGAATGCAGTGTAGGATGTTATAGAATTCCCTGCTGATAGAATAGAATGCAGTGTGAGATGATATAGAATGCCATGCTGATAGAATAGAATGCAGTGTGAGATGTTATAGA